CATCCACACATAGATTGGGTTAAAAATATAATAATTTATGATACAGATTTCAAGTTACTTTAGCAACATAGCAGCAGAAATCCTTTATTAGAAAGAACATTTGAGTAGCTGTTTTCAGTTAAAAATTTTACTGTCTAAACTTAGAACACAAGTTTAAGAGTTATGTTGAAGTAATGTGATACAAATAATGAGAGAATCTTTATAAAAGATATTATAATTTTATTTTAAGTTTAATATTTTTGCTTTATATAATAATAGTTACTATAGATTGAATTTGTACAGTTCATATTTGTATAATGTCCATTATTTATACTGTGTTGTCTTAGTGATATTCCATTAGACTAACTTTTCTGGGGGAAGGCCCAGTGACTCCCTGAAGGTGCTATCAGTTGCAGAGTTCTCTGGCCTTCCAATGGACCTACAGCCAGAACCTGGTCCCCTCACAGGGGTGCGGGGAGCTGTGGCACTCATATATTAAGCTATTCATTTATGCCACAACAACCAAGGGAAGCACCCAGAAAGTCAGCAGGACAAAACAAACCACAGCTGGCTGCTTCCAATACCAGCAGACTCAAAAACGGCCATAGAACTCCCCAAACTATGTAAACAAATGACCGAAAATGTTATAACCCATCGACCGCTCGTTAGCCCCACCCTCCCAATCGTTTGGGGGAGGATTTGGCAGGCCATAGCTCCCCGGCTGCACTGCCATCGTTCTCCTTTGTTGTGTGCCGGGTTTACTACAGTCGCTCTGGCCCCTGTGGCTTCTTGGGTCTTCTTTTGCCTTGGTGGCTGTTGCACGTTTGTGTACATGGGCCAGGAATTTAATGCACTTGGAGCTGCAAGTGTTCAGGGTTACCTTCCCAGGGCACTCCCTAATGCTTCTCTTACACTGCCAGGGTTCTTTTCCCTTGAGTGTTCAGGTGGCATTCCTTTAGTGGTCCACCTCACTTGTGAGTCTGGGGTATGTAAAACAAGCTTACGTCTTTTTCCTGGTTGGAGCTACTGGCTGGTGGGGAGCACTGGTTATATGCATGTTGAACTTCAGTTCACCGAGGTAGGTTTTCCCACCCATCTTAGCCAAGCTGGATTAATTGCATACAACTTTAAAAGTACAGACGTTGTTTCCCAGTGCCTGGGTGCTCTGCTTAGATTGTACCCTTCAGGTCTTGGTAATCCTCTGTGGGTTATGGGGTGCTCCCAACCCTGCCTTCACTTCTGGCAAGATGAGGGTTGTTCGTCGTCTGTGCCATAAGGTAACTGCCAGATGAAACGGTTGAGGAATTCACAGAGCATATGCAGTGAAATAGAGAGAAATCCAAAATATTTTATTCTCCTATGCAATACTTTATTAAGATCAAAAACCACATAAACATCAGAGGTCCTCGGTTGTTCAACGTCCTCCCAGCAAGCATAAGAAATATTGCCGGAACAACCGTGGACATTTTCAAGAGGAAACTAGATTTATTCCTCCAAGGAGTGCCGGACCAACCGGGCTGTGGTGGGTATGTGGGCCTGCGGGCCGCTCCAAGCAACAGCCTGGTGGACCAAACTCACACAAGTCAAGCCTGGCCTCGGGCCGGGCTTGGGGAGTAGAAGAACTCCCAGAACCCCATCAACCAGGTATCAACCAGGTAAACATCTAGTATTTGTTCCCTGCGAAAGGGAGATGGAACTTTCACAGATGACAACAAAGAAATGAGCGAAATACTGAGGAATCAGTACAATTCTGTTTTCAGTGAGCCACTAAACACACTAAAGATTGATAACCCAAATGAATTTTTCTTGGATGTGATGCCAACATCAAATCATATATCAGATGTCACCCTATCCCCACTGGATTTTGAAAAAGCCATAGACAGTATGCCTATGCACTCTGCACCAGGCCCTGATTCTTGGAACTCTATATTCATCAAGAACTGTAAAAAAAACACTATCGCAGGCCCTTCACATTCTTTGGATACAAAGCCTAGATACTGGCATTATTCCTGACATATTAAAAACAGCAGAGATAGCACCACTCCATAAAGGAGGAAATAAGGCAGAGGCAAAAAATTACAGACTGATAGCACTAACATCGCACATCATAAAAATCTTTGAGAGAGTGCTAAGAAAAAAGATCACAAAATACATGGAATCACAGCATCTCCATAACCCCGGACAACATGGTTTCAGAACAGGGCACTCTTGTCTATCACAGTTGAAGGACCATTATGACATGGCACTAGATGCCATGGAAGACAAACAAAATGCTGATGTAATTTACACAGATTTCACAAAAGCCTTTGACAAATGTGACCATGGTGTTATTGCACATAAAATGCGTTCAAAAGGAATTACCGGAAAAATAGGCAGATGGGTTTACAATTTCCTAACTAACAATGTAATAGTCAACAAAATCAAATCCGGTCCATCAACAGTGTTGAGCTTAGTTCCCCAGGGTACTGTGCTTGCTCCAGTACTTTTGCTCATCATCATATCGGACATAGACAAGGACCTATAGTACTGTATCATCCTTTGCAGATGACACTATGATTTTTATAGAGTAGACAACATAGAGGACTCGGCAAACCTCCAATCAGATGTAATTCGGGTTTTACTATGGGCTACAGAAAATAGTATGGTGTTTAACGAAGATAAGTTCCAGCTCATGCGCTACAGAAAAAATGAAAATATAAAAACGGAAACCCACTGACAAAACGCAGTCAAATCATAACATAGAATGAAAAGGCAATGTAAAGGATTTGGGTGTTCGGTGTACTCATGTCGGAAGACCTTACAGTTAAAGAACACAATAAAGTAGCCGTCACAACTACAAGAAAAATGACAAGTTGGATAACAAGAACCTTTCACACTAGAGATGCTATACCAATGATGATACTTTTCAAGACGCTAGTGCTCTCTAGAATTGTATACTGCTGCACAATGACAGCCCCTTTTAAAGCTGAAGAAATTGCTGACCTGGCGAGCATGCAGAGATCCTTTACTGCTAGAATCCACTGAGTAAAACATCTAAACTATTGGGACCGACTGAAGAGCCTAAATCTGTATTCTCTATTATGTATCCTTCGGGAGAGATACATAATAATTTTCACATGGAAAATAGTAGAGGGGATGGTCCCAAACCTGCACACAGAAATAATATCAGATGAGACCAGAAGGCATGGCAGGATGTGCAGAATACCCCCGTTGAAAAGCAGAAGTGCAACAGGTACTCTGAGAGAGAATTCTTTCAACATCAGAGGTCCGAGACTGTTCAACACGCTTCCACTACACATAAGGGGCATAACTGGCTGACCTCTTGTAGTGTTTAAAAGAGAACTTGACAAACACTTTCAAAGGATACCTGATAAACCAGGCTGTGACACATACATCAGGCTGCGAGCAGTTGCATTAAACAGTCTGGTGGATCAAACCAGCAACTAGGAGGCCTGGTCAGAGACTGGGTCACAGGGACAGTGATCCCCAGAGCCTTCAAAAGGTAGTCAACAGGTAGTCCTGTTCACTTGAGCGGCGCGAGATTGTAAGTGGGTTTCTAGAGTTTTGGGTGCCTTTATTTTGAGTCCCTTCATTCTGCATTTTTGCCCACGCTCTTCTCCTGTCTGTCAGAGCATTTTGGCTTCATACACATCTTCCTTGTTGACCAGACCACACACTAGAAGGTGAAGGGACGATGACGTTTTGGTCCGTCCTGGACCATTCTCAAGTCGATTGAGAATGGTCCAGGACGGACCGAAACGTCGTCGTCCCTTCACCTTCTAGTGAGTGGTCTGGTCAACATACTTCAGCCACGTTATTGTGACTCATCGCCTGCACATCTTCCTTGCTGTCAGCATTGGTTGTGACATTTGGTTTCCATGCCCTTCAGAGCTTGGTCTGTGTCATGCATTTCAGAGTCTCCTTGAGCTATATTCTGCTTTGCTCTTGGACGCTGTGGGTGTGCTCAGGAGTAGTCCTCTTGCTGGGGTTTTGTCCTTGGCTGTGATATTGTCAGGGGGCTCTTCCAAAGCTGTAAACTCCTCTTCTGTGGGATGCGGTAGCCATGTTCTGCTCTGCGCAGTTCATGTGTTGGCTGTCCGTGTTGGCTCTTTGGGTTTAGTTGACCAGACCACACACTAGAAGGTGAAGGGACGACAACGTTTCGGTCCATCCTGGACCATTCTCAAGTCGATTGTGATGAGGAAGTAGATGCAGGTAATAAACTCATCTAATGTGAGTGACTCATCGATGTGACTCATCGCCTGCATTTGCGTTTAGCTTGGGCCCCTCACCCTCTTCCGCCTCTCCTTCTCCACTTATCTTCGTAATGGGTGTAGTGGCTTAGTCCTATTCAGGACCTGTGTATCTACTCCTCAAGGTGGTCTGGGTGGTAGGGGTTGCACCTGCTGATGTTGATTTAGATGGACTATCTGTGGAGCCAATGGCCTGGTTGTGGACGCTACTTGTGTCTGCTTCATCCGTGTCTTGTCAGCGTTGTGCTCTCTCTGCTTGCAAGGCAGACTCACAGGTTTTAAACTTGCCCTTTTGTGGTTTGCTCCATTGATGAGGCAGTGGGGGGGATCGGCTATTCTAGTTTTCCGAAGACTGGTCCCACGCTAAGTTGGTTTTTCGGGTCGTTTCTGTCGGCCTTTGGTGCAGTTGGTTAGTCATTCCTCCTTCCAGGGGTTCGGATCTGCCTGGGCAGGCTTTCTCCTTGTGTCTTGTTGGGTCTTCTCTAGATCTCTGGTTCCTTCTCAATCTCTCTGTTGAACTGGTTATTCCTCGCCCTCATTTCGGATGACCTTTCTGTCCCGGGTCCATCTCACTTTTGAGCCGAGTGCCTGGACACTTCCCTGGACCTCCCTAGAGTTCCCTGGAGTTCTAGGCCAGATAACTCTGTAACTGATGGCACCTAGTAGATGGCATCTTCATCAGAGATAGTAGCTAATGGGAGCCACTGGGGCTTGCCCAAAAATTGACATTTCATTACATTCAACACTGGTTTTTATTATAATCCTTAGGTGTGCAAAGGAATTAAATCAATGGGATCTGGTGCAGGAGTATGGTAGCAGTGAGGCTTCTGGTAACCCACTCCTAGTTCTAGAGAGTGCATGGCGTGTTCCAAACTGGGCTCGCATGAAGGAAGCTTTGGCACATGTGGAGCAGTCATACCCCAAAGAGCTGGCTTGGAAGGTAATGTTTTATATAGAATATGCTGTTGTAAAATAATTTTTATTATACTTGGCACTTAATTTGCATGTGGTTTACATGTCTGAAAAATAATTAAACAAAAAAATCCTGCCAAATCAAACTTAAATGTGTATGGGAAGATAAATATTAGGTACCAGAGTTCTCTAAAAGTTTAATGTTTTAAATTCTTGACTCATTTAAATATGAATATTTAATTCTCCCTTACCTTTTCAGACTCAAATATATCACATAATAAAGACTAAAATGGTGGGGATGTGATCCCTGTTTTCCAATTCCATGTAAACTGAGGACAGCTTGTATATTCATTCTGTTTTTAATAGAAATGTGGCTGTAATCTCATTAATTATTTCTGTGGGGAGCTTTGTCGACTCCCTGAAGCTGTTATCACTGATTATGTGCCATACTACCTAGTGTCATCAATTGTGGAGTTCTTTTTGCCAAACGGGGACCACAAGCCAAAACCTAATCCCCCCTCAGAGAGGCAGAGAGAGCAATGGCCTATGATCACTTTACATTTAAAGGATATCATCATTGCCATCACCTGGGAAGGCACCCAGAAAGATAGGCAAAACAAAATAAACCAATGTGTGGTTTAAAAACATGACCAAAGCCCCCAAAATGGCAAAGAAAACCAATAATAAAAGAAGCAACCAAAACTTAGTGAAACTAGCCCCCCTGCTCGCTAACTCCATCTCCCCTTCGTTGGGTGGACAGGGAAGCTGGCCAATGGAGCTCGGGCTGACCAGCTTCAGTTCTCTCCTGACGTGCTTACCTGGCAGTCGAGTTGCTCCGGCTACTGTTTCCCATTTTCTGGTGTTCTTGTGTGTCCAGGAGTTTTAGTGTGCTGGCACTGCATGTGCTCAGGGTTGACTTCCCTGTGCGCTTTGTGAGTACTTTCCCTTGCACCTGTGCGCTCTGTGAGTACTGCCCTTGCATGGTCAGGATTCTCTTCCCTGGGGCATTCAGAGAGCATTCTCTTTAGAGAGGCCTCCTTCCTTGGGGTGGTCCTCACATTAACCCTTGAACGCCACTAGTTGTATTTATATACGATTTTGGTCTAAATATACGATTCTCCTTTACCACTGAGAGATAAACAAGTGAAACACCCAGCCTAACACTCTTTGTACACCACCACCAGGATGGAGGGAGTCAGGCAGGGTCAGACAAGCTGGGAGGCTGGAGTGTGTGTGGGTATTAGGAGTGGATATGGTTGTGGTGGGTGTCAGGAGTGAGTATGAGTGGTGGGTGTCAAGAGTGGGTACAGGTGTGGTGAGTGTCAGGAGTGGGTATGATTATGGTGGGTGTGCTGTGTGTCAGGAGTGGGTGTAGGTGTGCTAGTTGACAGAAGTGGATGTGGTGGGTGACAGGAGTGGGTGTGGTGGGTGTCAGGAGTGGGGTGTAGGTATGGTGGGTATCAGGAGTGGGTGTGGTGGGTGTCAGGAGTGGGTGTGGTGGGTCTTTGATTGTCATGTGGGAGGTAGCGCATGTCGAGGAGTGTGTACCAGAGGTGACTCGCGTTAACCCTAGCAAGGGGGAGGGTAGGGTGGGGGAGGGTCGGAGGTGGCGCAGTTGTTTAACACTTTAGCCCGAGCATGACGCAGCATTGCGTCATCCGTTTACTGTCGGTAATGCCGGGGATGACGCAGCATTGCGTCATCCATTTTAAATAATCGCCAAAAATCAGGTTTTTATCCGATTTTTGGGGGACTGGTTTTAAAATGCGCGCCGATGTCTTCCCATTTTCTTTGTTGAGCCTCGTGGCGATGCTGGGTACTTGAACTTTTGTTTCCAGAAAAAAATTTCTGGGTCCCACTGCTGCTACCAGTATTCGTTTGCCTTGTTCGGGTAGAAGGTAGACACAGTAGTCTCTTCTGTATATATTTATTGACTGAGATAGCAAGGTATATATCTGCCTAGCCGAGGTCCTTCTACTCTGAGCCTGTGAGGATAACTGCGGCTGCTGGGAGCATGCTTGATGCTCCTCTGTCTGGCATGACGTCAGAGGCCTACTTGCCTGTGATTGGTTACATTTCAACTGACAGAATTTTGAGTATAACAATTGTTTTCGCTCCACTGTTGTGACCAATGTCGCCTCCCATCGCATCTCAAACGTGTGAACATTTCGGCTATTTTCCGTGGCTATATTTCTTACTGCGGCTTTAGAAACTATCAACGCTTACTCCACAATGGATAGTGATCATGAACAAGGCCCTTCCAGGAAGAAAATTGCGAAAGAAAGGCTTGAAATGGCCAGGAATTGGGAGTGTAGCTGGAAGGCATCTGAGTGCTCACTTGCGGCTAACGCGTGGCCCGTCTTCAACTCGTTGGCGGTTGGAGCGTGACCAGGATTTTTATTTTATATGCTAATGTTCCTCTAGAGAATTCTATTGCAAACCCATTGAGACCAAAATGAAAGACCTAGGACGAAAATTGAGGTAACCAGAGTGAAAATAGTGAAAACATTTTATCGCGTTTGCGCGCTCCTGGGTAACTCGTTCGCACTTTCTCTGTTTGCTGCGGGTAATTAGCCGGGCTTTTGTAGTTTATATGCATTTAATAATGTAGAGAATTCTATTGCGAACACAATGATACAAAATTTAATCTCGTGGGACGAGAATTAAGGTGACAAAGTTGAAGACAGTATACACTTTTCAGAATTTACGCGTGCTCCCGTGACACCCTGGGTCCCATATCGCACAGTTGAGGGGTGGCGCGCGGGGTACGCCAAAGTGTTAATCATATATTTTGTTCTTTCTGTGGGGACCCCCTTCGTCTCCCTTGAGCTATCGGGCTTATGTGTGATATAATAGATCGGGCACTAGTCTATGGAGTTCGACTTACCAGGGACTACTAGTCAGAACCTGGCCCCCCCCTCAGAGAGGTTGCAAGGAGCAATGACCCTGTAAACCCCCCCCTCCCCCTGGGGGGGAGGTTCAGTACTCACTTCCCCCTTCAGAGCAGGAGAGATTGCTGAAATAGAGGGAATACAGAGAACATATACGGCACGCATAGATGCAATAAAGCACCTAAATTATTGGGATCGTCTCAAAGCCCTCCAAATGTACTCACTAGAAAGAAGACGAGAGAGATATCAAATAATATACACCTGGACTGGTTGGGGTTTTCCTTATCTGCCATCGACCAGGGTTAGGCACTCAGGAAGGTAGGCATAACAAAGCAAACCCCACATGCCAAGAAAATTACAACTGAAAACCGAAAAGAGAGATAGAACTTCCTCCAATCCCAAGTAAACAAACAAACATCGCACTCCACTGCCGCTCTGCTCGTCCCCGCAGCCCTCCCCTCACTGAGAGGGGGAGGGGGAGGGGGAGGGGGAAGCCCTGGACTTCCCCGCGCCAGCTGCCCAAGCACTCCAGTTCGTTAGCTATTGTGGTCCAGTGCGGATGTCTTCTCTGGCCTCAATTTCCAAGGCAGTGTTTTGCCTTTGAGGCGACCTCTGCAGTGTTGTTGTGTGTGGTGGCCAGGTGTTCCTTGTCAGTGCCGGGGCTGCATGTGCTTAGGGCTTCCTTCCCTAGGCACCCTGTGAGTAATGCCCTTGCGTGTTAGGGTTACCTTCCCTGGTGCATTCAAAATAACCATTTCTGTAGAGATTCTTGCTGCTCAGCATTTACCCAGTCCTTGGGGCCAACTGGGGTTTGGGGCCAGTGACTGTCTCAGGGTGACAGTCACCTCTTTTGCCTCCATCATGCTGCCGTTTGGGTCAACCACACCCTTGACCCGGAGTCTTGCGAGTTGTGTTCTCTGCTTGTTCTCCAGTGCTATTCTGATGATAGTACTGTTAGTGTATAAGCAGCATCCACGTTGCATGCTAGGTTTAGGTTGCTGATACACGCTAGGCTGGCTTCCCCAGCCGTATGCCTCACAGCTGCCCCGTTCTGGTTATAGGGACCTGGACTTGGGGGAGTTGGTCTCTACGACTGGTGCGGTCCGTCCTCTCGGGTCCTTCCCCTGATATTCATCCTGCTATCCCCCCCTCCCTCCCCACCTGCTTCCAGCTCCCAAACGTCTGAGGATTTCGTGGTCTGAGCAGGGTTTAGTTGGTAATGAATTTCGGACAGCTTCGAAGGGCTGCCCCATTAGGGTTGAGGATGGAAGTATTTCTGCCAGTTCCTCCTACTGAGGTTTCTGGGTCCCACCAGCAGGCCCCCTTTTTTTTTTGCCTTTTCCCTGGACTCTGCCCTTTCTTTAGGGGTGGAGGGGTATGGAGGACTGCTCTGCCCCGAGTCCCGACTTGGGGGGATTCCGAGGCTGGGGAGGAGTTGATCTTATGGGCCTTGGGGCCCCCCTTTTAATCCCGCTTGGGTGTTAGTGCCCTTTTCACAGGGCTTGTTGCTGCAGGGGGAGAGGTTTTTTTTACCCCCCCCCCCCCCTTCTCTGTATAAGTATGATTTGAGTTCGGTTCTGGGTTCGGCTCCCTTGGGTTCCTTGGCCCTGTCCTTCTGAAGGTTTTCTGCCTCTCGTATCTCCCCGCGGGAGGTTTGGGAGACTCTTGCTGTATACCTCCTGCGAGACCCAGATTCCGCCTCCATTATGGATCCATCCTTATATGAGTTTGGTTCTTCTTCCCCGTATTGGGTGAGTTTGGAGGTTCCGGAATCTTCCTGGTTGGCAGACTGCCCTTCCTTTTCGTTGGGAGCATGGCATGGGTTCTGTTGGTCCTGCATGCTTGAGTGAGGGAAAAACGTCTACCTTTCTGCAGGTTTACCTGGGGGCGAGTTTGAGCACCTTAATGCATGCTTGTTCACCCCTGTGCTTTCTCGGGATGTTGGCCTTGTGCAGCTGCACGTGCAGGTTCCTTCCCTTTAGGCGTCCTTGTTGTACAGATTTGTGAACCTGTGAGCATTTGGCCACAGTCTTGCACTTCTTTTTCTCTCTCGAGCTGTCTTCTGCCTAGCTTGAGGAGGATGTGGAGGCATTGAGTGCCGGGCCTTCATCTGGTGTGCTGCCCTCGGCAGCTCGAG